TCATGGTTAAATCTACTTTTAGTGAAAGCGATAGCTTGTCTTAAAAAGTACTGAATTCGGTTAAGGCTGTTGTAGCAAAAAAAATTGATTGGGAGTTGATGAAATGGGTACTTGGAAACTTCGCTACAACTGCTGGCGAACAGCAGTTAGGTCACGCTTTGTCATAGATTTTAGCTACAGACTGCTAAGAACAAAAAGAACAAAGTTATTTTTGCAATTAGAAATTAGAGGCTCTATTTGCTTTTTTTTTCTTCGACTCTTTTACTAGGGTATAACAAATATATTTTTTTCTTTTTCGAAATAAAGACAGAATTAAAGTTTGTAGTTATTGAACAGAACAAAGATTTCGTTTTGGATTTTTTTAACTGTCATTCTAATACATTTTTGAGACAACCGCTATATTGGCAACAGAATTATGGAGTGTCGTTATGCTAACTGTTTAAATAAACACAGTTAAATTCAGGTAAGGTTATTGTTTTTTTTTTAAATGCATTCGTTGTATACGTTTCACACCCTTATGGAATTTGGCCTTGTTTGCGAGTACCGTACTTTTGGGGTCTTTGTTTGATTTTTCAATTCTGTGCGCAGTTAAGACTTACTTTTTGTCTGTTTGGAACAATTCATTATGTCGGTAAAAAATGCATTTTTTTTCAATGTTTATATGACGTTTAAAAATCTTCTGTGATCATATAAAAGGGTTTTTCGTTTTTTCTTAAGGTTTTTTGAAAGAAGAGGTTTTTTAAACCCACAATTGTTTGCTTTACATACCGATTTCTTTTGGATGCACACTTGTTGCATGTTATCCGCATTGAAGCTGTCGATGCAATACTTGAAATTATTGAAGTCTTATTTTTTCAGTTTTGTGCGATTTTTTAAAAGTAAAAAAATTGGGAAATTTTTTCATTTTCCATTTTACTTTGTTGTTGTCGTTTGTTTGAATAGTTTAGTCACTTTGTCTTATAGAACAGTGGTATTTAATATAAGAATTCATTTACCATCGAATCAACAATAGCTGATCGTCAATCTGTTCAAAATCTGTTGAAAGCTGTTGCATTTGGTGTAAAAAGCTGAAAAAAAAGTGAGACTCTTGGGTTGAAGGGCAGTGAAAAGATTAGGTTTTTTAAGCATGGAGGGAGCTTGGTTTTCCCTTGAACCGTTTTTAGAAGAAAAGAAATTTGGAAGTCTCAATCCATGTCTAATTTGGAAACTTGAAGTTGCTTAGAAATGATCATGAATTGAATAGGAATTTGCAAAAAAAAATCTTGTTGCAAAAGTCTGTTTGATATTTTCAGTTACCAACGGAAATTGCTTTAATTTCAGTTTAAGAGGAAAAGATATCATTAACTTGGCTTCGTTGATCCTACTGCATGTGAGAAGCAAGTGATTTCATTTAAGTTACTGCTTGGATGGAAATAAAACAGCCTTCGTGTCTTTGAAGGCTAGAGAATTCTTAGCCTCAGACTTTTTTAAGGACTTTTTTGTATGCTGACTAGAAGATTTGCTGAGTATAATTCAAAAAAAAAGTAACATGAAATCAAACAAGTGACATTTGAAATATCTCGACAGGGCGAAAGTACTGAGCAGTTGTTAGCAGAAATTAATTAAGGAGAGGAAGTGAAGTAGTGGAAGAACATTAAAAACATTTCTTCCAGAAGTGAAGGATTATGTAAACTTGAGGAATTTTCTATTTTTTTTTATCGCTGATTTATATTTCTGTTTCTGCTGTGAAAACAGGACACGAAATGAAGAATGTAATTAAGCCCATGGATTTTGGTTATCAGTTGAAAGTATCTTTGCTTTAAGCGCGTCAGTTGGTGAGTGGTTTCAAACCTTCCGCGGTCAGTCAGTTTCCGCATCGCTTCTCTTATAGAACTTAGACGTTGAGCGTTCCTTAGCAATATAGAGGGATATTTTTTAGGTATTTTGTTACTTTAGTGTCTTAGAAGGTAGAACGTCAATTTATATGTTCAAATCAGTAGAAGGTGGTTGTCAGTTGGACTCAGAACAGGTTTTTTTCAACAGATATAGTGCATTTGTTTAAAACATTTTCTGACGGAACATTAAAGTAACCATTTAAGAGGAACTTTTTATATATTTAAGTTAATACGGCATTTAAAGGTGATTTTTGAAAGGTTTTAAAAGTACTTTACATTTATTAAAAATTCTTGCTTGACTTCCATGAGCTGTTTAAGACTACTATTTTGTGTCACCATTAGACTGCTTGTCCAAATGCAGTTTATAGTACAGAAAGAGGTTATTTATTACATGATGAACAAGCACGGAGTGACGATGACTAATTTATGAAACTGTTGGCATCTGATAGTACTTGGTCTTCATTTTTAAATTTTTATCAGTGCTGTAACCTTTTTTTCTGTGCTTTGTCATCAGTTGCAGTGAGGTGATTTATCATCGTTACCAAAAATTTTACAAAACTGTCAGAATTCTTCTGATGTTGCTGTTAATTTTTGTTCTTTTTGACAATTATGTATTATTGTATGAGTTCTGTGGAGAAATTTTTTCTACTTGAATTCACATTCTAAGCCTTATTTAGATATAAAAACAAGCTCAGAAAATTTTTACTTTTGTTCTGGTCTTTTGGTTATTCAGTGTCTGATTGATAACTACATAGAAAAGATGCAAGTTTATTGCACTAATAACTGTTAAGTTAAGTTTCAGGAGTATTTTTTTTATAAACAATGACATCTGCTGCCTTCAATGCTGAGCTGGTAATATCACATCTCGAGAAAGCGTGTGTAGAAGACGGTGATGTTCGCTTACTTGATTACATTGAAGCTTATCGAGAACTGAACAAGTGAATATAAGTTCACTGATTTTCTATTACATATCTTTGGTAAATGTTTCAAAAATTAATTTTTCAAAATGCAGGTTAATATTGATGTTTTGAAAGTGAATTGAGATTTCAGATTGTTTGCATCGTTTGGAAAAATTTTTACTTTTGTCGAAAGCGATGTTCGAACCAAAGAGCAAATATTAGACAATTATTGCACCGAAGATAGCGAACATTATGTAACGGTTAAATCTATGGTTAACTGGGAAATAAAGGATGGCATTCCACCAAAAAAAGAAGTTGTGTTTGGAATTTTTGCGTATTTTGTTTATTTTCTAAGCACTGATATTTGAAAAAAATAGTGAAAAATGTAAATAATTTGGATTTATACGAACACTTTTTTTTTAATGTTTATCTTTTTGGTAAATTGAAGCATTATCTTAAAGCAGTTTGGTAAGATAGAAGCTTTCATCTCTTTTTCATCTATTTTGATTTTTTTAGGGGTCTAGAACTTTACTTCGACTTCATCGAGCTTTAGAGTTCCTCAGTGAATTTCTGGCCGACTTAAAAGATCCAAAAAAAGGTGACCAGGTGTGTTCATAATTGAAGTTCAATCAAATGTATGACTTCATAACTTTATTGTTATCATCTTTTAACTATCTTTCAAGCTACCATTTCTTTTCCGGCTATTTGTTTTTTGTCTTTTTAAACACACTAGATAATCAAATTTTAATATACTAAATATAGCAAAAATAGCCAGCTATATGACAAGATGCCTAAATAAAATTTGGTTTTTGGTAGAGATATTTTGAAAAGTTGTGAAAACGACTTGAGGAAAAAGTATTAACGTGTTAACTGATTTAATGCCTTATCAAATTTCTCTGATTGTGCATTCAAGATTATGAGACTGGTATTTGACAACAAATTATAGTGAGTTTTTTTTTTTTTTTTTTTTTTTTTTTTTTTTTTTT